GTGCACCCGTAGGTGCACTCTCAATACACTTTTCGACCGAAAAATCTTAGGACACTGCACACACTGGAACATGTGTTTTTTTTGAGGATTAAGACTTTTAATTCGCTTAAACTGCAATTTCCTTGGGTGACTACAGATGTGTCGCCTCAAATCTTGTGGTGCCTTAAAAGCCTGCGGGCATTTGTCACATTTATACGGACGTTCCCCCGTGTGTTCACGGATGTGTGTTTTTAAACACGAATTATACCTAAAAGTTTTCGGGCAACGACCGCATTTAAATGGTCTTTCTCCTCTGTGATCGCGGTAATGAACCTTGAGGGCAGAGGGATGCGTAAAGGCCATATCGCAGAGGTTACACTTGTGCGGTCGTTCCTTTGTGTGGGTCAAGATGTGTCGGTTTAGGTCAACCTGTTGCTTAAATGCCTTGGGGCATAGGTCACATTTAAAGGGTCGTTCGCCCGTGTGAACACGCAAGTGTACTATTACACCAGCTTTTCGCACAAAATCCTTCTGACAAAGATTACACTTATATGGGCGCTCACCCGATCGAACCTTCCTGTAGGCCTCTGGACCTGCTTGGTTTGGACGGTTAGATAGGTCATCCGACTTAGAAGAAGTGTCATTTTTAATAAATCCCTGCGGTTGATCCGTCTTATGTGGTCGTCTACTATTGTCACTTGGAGTGTCAGTACTATGATATGATGCAGAGTCAGGGTCCTCCTCATGGCCCCTGAGGTGATTTTTAAAACTACAATAGCGTGCAAAGGTTTTAGCACAGACGGGGCACTTGTGAGGTCGCTCTTCATTGTCAGAGGTCTTCGGGCTACCAAGATCCATACCATCATTTTCAATTCTAAAATGGGGTTGATCATCTTTCCCGACTGTCTTTTCACTCTTCTCATCCTCTTGAATTTGACAATCTGATGACTTAGTTTCGTCGTCTGATATTTCACAGACTTCGACTTCACCTTCAGCGTAGCCCTTTGATTGATCAAGTTCACCAATTGATATCTCATTGTTACTGTCCTCCGAGAACTGGCACACGGATTGATCAGTTTGGCCGAGTGACATCTCATCCTCCAAAGAGTTTAGTTCCACAGTTTCGGTATAAAATTGCTGAACATTATTTTCTTTATTTGATTCCTTTTCCCCGAATGTTTTGTCCTTGACTGGGTGGCCAGCTCTTGATCCCTCGCTCTCAGAGTCTGATATTGTAAAGTATTCCTCCTTTCGCAAATCATTCCCGATGCGCTCGACTTCCTTGACTTGGCATAGGAACTGGTGTCCCATCTGGGAAGTCTCTTGGATCTCGACTGCCTTCTGGGCATCTTCCAAGCAACCTAAGCATATACTTTCGGGCAGCGAGTCGCCTTTCTCCACTTGGTAGCCGGACCACTCGGCAATCATGTCCGGAATCGAAGGACCCGATCCTAGCGTTCCCGCAAATATGTCGACCATGTCATCGTAGTGGCCCAGGCAAACCCGGCATATTTCCTCCATTGCTCTGAAAAAAAGAGTTGCACTTGAATAAAATCCAACTTCATAATTGACATGCTCACCTTTGCGTGACCCTCTATCAATAATAAATATATTTTAACTTTTAGTACCGTACCGTACCTGAAAAAAAACTATTTTGCAGATTGTTTATATCTCCAAATTTCTGTAAGTACTCTAACCACCCTGTGCCGAGTGTATTGTGCTGTTAGGCGCATTTATCTATTCTGCAATCGAACTGTTATCGATTTTGGGCATTTTTAAAATGTAGAACCAAATATAATATAAACTAATTTAGAACTGACTTGGCTTAGAATAATGTAAATACTTGCAGGTTTGTTTTTATACCCTTGCAAAGATTGCTAATATCTATAAGCTATACCGGTAGGTTATAATAGTATTAATATGACAAAATTCATAATTTCTAATAAGTAACCTGTTTATCCAGTCGATTATGATGATTATTTTACGGCACATAGGCCCAAATGAATAAAAAGCCCCATTCCGAGGACTATTATATAACTATTTTTAGTTTTAGGATATTAAAAACTCATTTTACCACCTTGTATATTAAATCAAAGATTGTATATTTGGCTTTTATCAAAAATGTAACAATGAATTGATATTCAAGACTTCTTAAGCGTGCATATTGCAACTCTCCTTACTAATTAATACTTAACTATAAAGCCTCTATAAAGCTCCAGTTTTTAAGTCCTTCATATGAGTAAGGACGTGAACATTAAGAGTAGATGTTCGCGAAAAAGTTTTGTCGCAATAGGTGCATTTGTAGGGTCGCTCCCCTGTGTGAGTCCGCATGTGCTGCTTAACAGTTGTAAGATCCATAAAAGCCATGGGACAATAATTACATTTGAACGGCCTTTCTCCCGTGTGAGTTCGAATGTGTCGCTTAAGTTCGCCTGGTTGCTTATAAGACTTCTGGCATTCGGAGCACTTATATGGCCGTTCGCCTGTGTGGGTACGGGTGTGCATCACAAGGGAAGTTGGGTACTTAAAAGACTTTGGACAAAAGTCACATTTAAATGGTCTGTGCTCGCTGTGCGTCTTTAGATGTTTGTTTAGGTCGGACATTCGGTCAAAGGACGTTAAGCAAAAATCACATTTAATTGGCCATTCAGACGAGTGAGAACGCATGTGCTTGTTGAGAAGAGATATATGTGCAAATGCTTTTGAGCATTGATCACATTTAAACTGCTTGTCTCCCGTGTGATCCAGGATATGTCGGTTAAGATCTTCCAGTTGCGTATAGCTCCTGTAGCAGTGGTCGCACTTAAAAGACTTTTTTTCATTGTGAGTCTTCATGTGTTGGTTCATTCGCCATTCCAGTTTAAAAGTCATTGGGCAGATAGGACACTTATGCAATGGATCGCTTGTGTGCTTCATGATGTGCAAATTAAGGGAATTTTGATCCTTAAAAGTCATTGGGCACTGCTCACATATATGAGATTGGTCTTCATTGTGAGTCGGGGCATGTAGGTTGAGTTGTGACTGATCTAGACATAACACCGGGCATTGGGGACACTTTATCGTGCGTTCCTCCGTGTGAGTCACGAAGTGGTGCTCTAGATCTGATGCTTTTGAAAATGTCTTTGGGCAGTAGGAGCAGTTAAACGACTGTTTCTCTGGGACAGACTCCATAGAAGTCTCGAAGTGTTGTTGAATGTGCCGAAGCAAACTCGTTTTGGTTCGATAAGCCATTGGACATTGGTCACATTTGAACGGTAGCTCCCCGGTATGCTCCGTCAAGTGATATTTAAGACCAGATTTGCTCATAAAAGATTTGGGACATTGGGAACACTTGTAGGGTCGCTCACCAGTGTGAGTACGGAGATGCAATTTCAAATTCCGTTTTCGTATGTAAATCTTTGGACACCAAGGACACTGGAAAGTTTGATCACTACTAGATTCCGTGTTTTTACTCGCTGTTTTACTATTATTATCTACCAGCTGACTCTCCAATTGATCATTTTCATCGACTGATACGTCACCCAATACATCATCTTGAATAAGCAAAGAGGATTGGTCGGTTTCATCGCTTGATATTTCACAGACTTCATCTTCATCTTGGATATAGGTATTGGTTTGATCAAGTTCATCAACTGATCGACTGTTTCTATCCACTGGAATCCCACAATCGGATTGACTAGAGTCACTAATTGATATCTCATCCGTGAAGAAGTAAGGCTGGGCCTGCTTTTCTTCACTTGATTCTTGTTCTTTGGTAGCTGACGTGTACTTAACTTGAAAGTCTATCTTTTCACTTGGTTCTTCACACTCAGAGTCTGATATTGCGTAGGATTCGTCCTCTTTCCCGATGCCCTCCACTTTTTTGACTTGGCATAAGACTTGGTGTCCCATCTTGGAGTCCTGTTGGATCTCGAATGCCTTTTGGGCATCTTCCAAGCAACTTAGGCATATATTCTCGGGGAGCGAGTCGCCTTTCTCCACTTGGTACCCAGACCACTGGGCAATCATATCCGGAATTGAAGGTCCCAATTCGTCGGTTCCTTTGAATATGTTGACCATATCATCGTTGTTCCCCAGGCAAACTCGGCATATTTCCTCCATTGCTCTGAAATCAAGAAAACCATATCTAAAGTTAACCTCTCCACGTGATATCAAATGCACATGCTTATTGTAATTATCCCATTATAGGGGCTGGGTTTAGTTAGTTTGTAGTATTTCAGAGCCTTTGTAATCCTGGGACACGTTACCAAGTTTCGCCACCAAGGCGTGTACGTTTCCAAATTATTAGGTGGTATTTCCGTGGCTAAAAATATCTCCAAAATATAAATAAACTACATTTTTGTTTCTCAAAGTGGACCATATGTTCCGTATTTATGTTTACATTGCTTTAACATCCCAAGTTCAAGTACTCTAGGCACCCTGTTGCAGTAAAGTGTGCTGTTAAGAGCAAATAACATATGTTATGCTATCGAATTGTTATCGTCTAGGCGGATAATTCAAAAAAGTCTAATTCCTGTTAGATAAAGTTATTGACCCCGTTTTATAGTAATACTAAAATAAATAAAATATTATGCAACATATAAGCCCCATTTTATAGGAATACTAAAATTAAAAAAAATTATTGACCAACATGTTAACCCCATTAAAAATTTAAATATTCAAATGTATTATCTAAGTTTGATCACTGATTTTGGCTTCGATTTTATCCCCACCAAATAATAACTAAAACCATTTATTGCATTGAACACTCAACAGCTTAAAGACTTTATTTATTGATCGATATCGATTTATTGCATTTTTCTCAACAATTATCTGCTGCAGTGATATTACTATGTTCTAGTACAGTTTTCTCATTGTTTTGGCATTTACCATTTTTACCGTTATTACCGTGATGCTTGCAGGGTTGCATTCTGGCTTACTAACTAATTAATAAGTAAATTTGAATTTCGAAAATCTCTGATAAATGTATTTGTTATCTTTCTTGTCGTAGTTTGCTCATTGTTATATTCTCTATTACTGTCTGAGGTTGTACAGAAATCAAGATTCTTTCATCGCTATTGTGTTTTTTGCATTGCTACTGTGTTAACTAACAACAACTGCTGTCGTTTGGCAACTTCTTTGGATTAAATGCACTTCTCATATTGCTGGGCTTGGATAACTATTGTGAGTTAGTGTTAATATTTATTGGATAAGCGCATTTGCATAGACTCCGATTTGAGTTTGATGTGTAAATATATTCCTCTACATGTGTGTATACATTGTATTGTTATTGTTAGTACTGGCTCAATTGCTCGCTTCTTTAGTTAATATATTTATCTATTTAATAGCCTTGCATAAACGTTTTCTCTTGATGTTTGCTTTTTTATTTTGTTTGTGACACGCAAAACATTGTTGTAATTACAAAAATATATATATACCTCATGGTTGTAGTCGGCTGTTCTCGAAACTTAAGCACTAATAAACCCGAATAAACGCAATAAGTGGATTATGATTTAATATTTATTTGCTTGTAGTTTGCAATTTGTAAGTGTCTCATATTTCTTTTCACTTATTACAATACAAAAGGTACGAAAGGCGCGAGAAATTCCGTTGCCACGGAATTTACACTAAAAATTGACTTAATTGTGAAGAGCTAACTGAAAGAAAACGGTTTCGATTTCCCAAAAAGGAGCTTAAAATAAACATTGTATTATTTTGTTTGGGGTATTGTGGTTGGTAATCCTTGCTTTTCAGCTTAAACTTAACATGGTATTTCTGGTAGGAGGTGTATCCTTGATTACTCATTTGGTAATACTTATTCGCTACATTGCTGGAAAAGTTAAGGTGACAATATAGGTTGGTGTTTCTCTCTCATGGTGTCTCATTATATATAGGAAAACTTGACTGAAAAGCGGCAACTAGTTCGAGTATCTGTTATATGCTTAACCATTTCTTCTTCTTTGCATTGAGGGGTATGGGAAGGATCTCGAGTGTGTGGGGGATCTCGATCTTATAGACTAGCTCCGTTACTCGGCGCGGCAGAGCAGCGAGGCGAAGCGGAAGAGACGCATCCAACTGAAGAGCTTCGACTCCAGGAGATTCTCCTCCGCCGTCGAGGTGGTCATCGAGACCCGCGACGAGTTGGAGGACTTGCTGCTCCTTTTCTGCTGCATGATCCTGGGCGAGCTCATCTTCATTATCGAGTAAGTCGTCTTGGCGGCTTCTGGATTGCACACGCCACAAAAGTGGACGTGGGCTACGGGGTCACAAGCGTGGAACGAACGAAACGCACAGGCTGCAAGGAGAAGACGGAAGAATAGGCCGGGAGATTAGTATAGGTCGAGTGCTATTGAAAGTCAATGGCTGATATCTCAAGCATCACTCTACTCCCTTTTTTGTCGAGTGGCTGCCGTGACATTTGAACGCCAGTCAGCAAATCCCCAAAAATCCTCTGAGAAAAGCTGACTAATGGGGAATCGAAGGATGATGCGGTGAATGAGAAAGTGTTTTCAAGAGTTTCTCAGCGAAATCTACTGAATTTACCTACCTAAAAAAAAATGGTAGATATTACATAATACCTATTCTTGAAAGCAACAACAATTTAAAAAAAAATGTTACTTCATAGAGTTATAACTTTTTATTTTAGAAATTTAGAAACAGGAATACTCGTATTATGATATTCTTTACAGTCGGCAAGTACCCCAAAATCCCCCGGTTATCAAATTTAGAAACAGGAATACTTTAATAACATAAAAACTAGAGATGTTTGTTTTTAATATTACCTTAGGAACTTTGCTTTACTTAACCCCTTTTACCTTAAATGCTATCTTTACAAACCAAAACAATACGACTTTCCCAACTTGCACTCTAATTTAAATGTTGCCCTACAACCTACCCATAAAAACGAACTAGTTTTTTACCAACGGGGCTGCTCAGCTCTAATCGAAATGCTCCATTGGCTCCACACACACCCAGGGCATTGTACAACCCACCCATCCAAAGCTGATGACCTTGCCCATATGCACTGAAGTATGTATGCTTTGCACACGAATGGTATGCCCAAAAAAAGAGGCCCAAATCGAAACGTTGCCTTTGCCTGCTCCAGTTTTTCCAGATCTGGCTAAAGCCAGATTCAATGACAAAACCGAACGCTTCGTTACGGATAATAAAAGAGAAACATACAAATCGGCTTTGTAAGTGAGACTGCATGTACGTAAAGTAAAGTTTACATTTCGAGTACACACACAAGAGCTGAGAATTGATGTTTGCTTTAATTGGACAAAATCCTGCTTCTTTTTTTTGGCTGAAAAAAGATTACATAGTACAATATGTGAAAGGGAAAGATTGTGTGTGTCCTACGTCACTGGTAATTATGCAATGTGCAATCTACTCCCCTCCCACATTTCATCCCACCGCCTTTGGGCAGCAAATTAATTTCAATTCCCAGTCAAGCTTTACAATCCCTGCCCGTTTTCGTCTGTGTGTCACATATATGGGTTATATTTCTATGGCGACAGTCGAAAAGTGCAGTCCGCTCATAAAACATTTCCATATATCAAGCAGATAATAATAAAAAACTACGACAGCAGCTTGTCGCGTCCACGCGACACATAGAAATATTGTTTTGTTTTTTCCGCTTTGTATGTTTGGGGATCGCTTTTCCTTCTAGCTTCTTGCTAAATATTATTCCACTTTGTATGTTTTGTAAGCAATCTTGTCACCGCTCAAAATACGCCTGCGCATTCGGTTGGCTCATTATAATGCTGAGATCATGAAGATAGCCGGGCCAACGAACATTTGGGAGAACAGTGGGTAATATAGGGAAAATAGTACTTAAATTCCACACTTACCCATTTGAAATAACAAAAAATACAAGTTTTAAAGGTTTACCTATTTATGATTTCAAAAGGACTAATAATATCCCTAAGAACACCCATCAAAGAAACCGTTTCCCGAACACTTTGCAATCACAATTATTATATTATTTTTAAAATATGACTGTATCCAACTATTTATAACACAAACTCCGCCTCTTATTTATAGAACTTATAGGCCAATAAATTTGTTTTAGGAGAAGCAATTATGGCTCAAATTAGTTCCATAAAAATTCCTCAGTATCAATAATAGAAATGCATCCAAGATCATTTCGATTGATTATCGGAGTTTTCCAAAAAAATTTAAAATTTCCATCCAGTGTCCCCTTTTTGACTCCATTTCCACGTACGCCCCTGCATGGATTTCCATTTCTTCTTCTTAGCTTTGACATAAACATTTCGGAAATGAGAAATATTTTCAGTTTTCGTTTTAATCTTTGGAATACTTCGAATGCAGCTGCTGTGTTGTCAGTCAGAGAGGGATGGGGCGAGAGATCGTGATGGTGTGGGCGTCTTAAAGCTAACGGGCCAACACGATACTCGCCCACATATCTATGTATAATACCCCTTCCCCACCTTCAATGCCTTTTCAAGTTTCACAACTCGGTCGACACTTTTTTGCCTTCGAAACGAGTATTAAGATATTTCGAAAAAGTTTACTAATTCACGGAAAAATTAAACTAATTAAGTACAAAAACTAAAAATCGCAATAATATATTTATTTAATTTCTAATCTGTACAATTTAAAACACCGAAATGCAACACTTTTTATATTATTTGAATTGCATGTTTAGTTTTATAAAAATCGGACGGCAATATCAGTTGACTGCCTATGGTTTTGAAAAAATGGTTTACTTTTTTGGCAGCTTTTGGTCATATTTTGTTCTACTCTAGTAAAAAGAATTTTTAAGGTTTTAGAGTTACGAATTTATCAAAGAAAGATCTGGAAATAACTTTAGGAACACTTTTTACATTTAAAAAAATTATTTTAAGTAAACAAGAAATTGTACAATTAAATCATTTACCTGTAGAGCCATCAGTCCATTTGTTAGATTAGGTAGCTTATACTCTTGTTCTTGGCAAACTTTTTTTGTATTTATGTATATACATTTAATGTTAAATATTAAATATTTCATAAGATTTTGGGAAAACCTATTAATAAATATGTCATGATAAGAGATGACTATAGAGGCAGCCTAGACTACTTTTTGGCAGATTTTTTCAGAATTCTATTATTGCATATAAGGTTGATAAGAAATTAATTATGTACAAATGAGAGGGCTATAAAAGTCGGGGAGCTGTGAAAAATTGTTCAGTCCTCTATTATATTAGCTTACGAATCCATTAAGTAGATCTTTATTTTACGCAATGCGTACATTTTTAATATTTTTCTTTTTTGGAATTCTTGTTCAAAATACTCTTGGAAAAGATTTGGTAGCCCCAATTGGCCTATCTTGCTGAACCAAAGTTGTAATGTTATCGTCTTTATTGCAGTTCTCTAGTGACCTAGTGCGAAGAATTGTGACTCTGGAAGCTCGGCAATATGCTGATAGTGATGCCTTTGAGGAGAGAATTCGAAGATTAGAAACCCACTTGCCCACTCAACGGAGAATCGAGGTATCGCAGTCTCTGGAGAAGGATAAGCCTGTTGCCGATGAAACTGTCATTGGTGAGAGAATCGAGAAACTGGATGTTGCTTTAAAGCAGGAGTTGGCTAATCACTTGGAGAACTTGACTTCTAAATTCGACGCCCTAGTTGAAAAGCTCGGCGCCATTGAAAACCAAATTGCAAAGACTCAGAATCCAGAGGTGCATCAGAAGATTGGTGAAAAGTATTACTATATCGAGAATTGCGATGGGCACAGCTGGAATGGTGCCCATGATACTTGTGCTCTAAAGAATGGACATCTTGCGACTCTTCAAAATGAACAGGAGTGGAAGGCTCTTGCGGAGCACTTAAGGACTGACAAAAACTATTGGATTGATATTAATGACAGGGAGGACGAAGATGAATTTATATCCAGTTTTACACAGACAGAACCAAAATTCTTAAAGTGGGGTCATGACGAACCTAATAATGGAGGTGAACATGACTTTGTAGAAGATTGTGTGGAGCTGCAAGGAAATAATAACTTTTACATGAATGACGCAAAGTGCTCAACCATTAATTTATTCATTTGCGAAGTCGAGCCACAATCCAAATCGTAATTCGAAAGAAATTTGAAGCTGTTTTACCAAATAAACAATTTCATTTAATTCCTAAATTTGTATATATAAAAAATTATGTTTGATTGGAGAAAATAAAAAAATTAAATATATAAAAACAAAATGTACTTTGCGACTTAGGATCGGAAAATAAGATGCTGCTTCAACTTTTATCACTTAAAGCATTTGATAAAAGTAATCACAAAACAAAAAGATAAGCCACCCAAGATGTAATGGACCTTTTTGGATATAGAAATAAACTTAAACCAAGAGCAAAAAGATTTAACATAGCACCCAATTCTTTTCAGTGTATGAACGCTTATCTCGAGAACTATAAATTATAATTTTAATAATTACTTTATAATTGATTCGAATATTTTTAACTAATTATCTTTAGAAAAATTAGAAATGGGTTGAAGTCGAGGTTGTTCTTATTTTGCCTAACTTTGGTTAGGCTAGTTGTTCCTGGTGTGCCAACTAATAATTGAAATTTTGTTCTATCTCCTCATCTCTTCGATGACAATTTCAAGGCGGTTGTTTTATTGGATACCCCCTACCACATCCCCCATCGGTTGGCACTGCGGGGCGTATGCGTGATGTTTTTATTGCCGTTAAATTAACCGAATGCCCCAAAGCCAAGGCAGTTTTGAAGTCGGGGGAAAGTGGAGAAATGGGTGCGAACATGCAATACTTTAGATTTGGTGTATATCCACGAGTGTTTGTGGACTTCGTGCCCGCCCCTGGGGTCATGAGTGTATTTCAATATCCTGGGCGCCAGCTCTTGGGAAATTTATGAGTGTCGAGTGTTGGAAATCGAATATCTTTGATGACGACGCTGTCTTTTCGGTAATTTGTGGCCCATCATTGTGTTGCCCTGAAGTTTTATCGCCCACGCAGACAGCTTGACATATTTTAGGGCCCATAATGGCCGAATAACAGCTCATAATATGATGTGAATCTTGATAGATTTTCTTAGTTTTTTACACCTACATTTGCACTTTGTTTTCAGCTGGTTGACAAATATTTTCCATTTTCCTCCTAATTGGCTTCAATTTTGTTGTAGCCTCTGATGTGTGTGATTTTTTACTTTTTCTATGCACATGTGCATTTCTTGCTTGTCACCCCGGCTCACATTGACCCACTTGGCGCCACATACTGTGCAATAGTAGTATATAGTAGTATATAGTAGTATACAGTAGCAAAACAACAACTGCAGTTTGAGCCTGTGCCAAATTCAATTATCAATTTGTGCTTTTCATGCATTTTCCATTTCAACTCGTCTTTTTCCCTCCGTCGCTCGTTTCAAAAGTGGCAGTTGGATAGCCAAAAGTAGGGAGTTGGCATTTGCCATTTGGCATTCGGAGGAACATGGCAGCTACGAATGCCTGAAATGCCGTTGATAACACTAGTTAACCTGATTTCGTAAATTGGTTAAACAGAATGGTTATTGACACTTTTATGAACCGGCGAACAAAGGGTGTACATAGAAAGAATTCTGACGTTCTCATCTGAGCTGAAAATGTTCTTTAAAATATAACGAAATTTTTGAAGTTGAAAATGTTCTTGAATCAAGTTGAATTGACGGAATTTACATTGTATATCTCAATTACTAAACTATTAGTCCAGCCTTTTTAAAAAGTTGTTAAGTAAACTCAATTTAACTTTTCTCTTCTCACCGTTTGCGTTCTAGTATTGAGAACATTGATATCAATATGTACTTAAACGGCTTTTGGGAACCAATGTTCTTAATTCAAGAACAATGTACTTGAATAATTTTTTCTGTCTAGATATAATCATTCTGGTACTTGGAAACTTGGCTACCTACGCTTATTTCAAACATATAATCTCCCTATACTTTGTACTTACATTTATTATACATTATTATAAGTATCCCACCAAACTTTGCTGTTAAAAGTACATTTTAATATAAGAACCTGATGTATGTTTAAAAGTACTTGTGTCTATTGATCTATATTTGACTTTTCAACACTGGTTCTAGCTTTAACTGTAACTTTACTAGCTTTTTACTAGCTGAACTCATTACCTCCACTTAGTGTTATTAGAACCGTGTTTAGCATTCACCTGCTAACTTCTAGATACTAGCTGTGAATGCAAACCGGCGGTAAGATAACTGCCCCAACTTTTCCCACTATCGTTATTATTATTATCGCCGCCACTGTCGCATACCGCTATCTGCTGTCATGTCACTGACTGTCCCTGGCGGTTTCAATTGCATTTCAAATGAATGTTCCCCGACTTGCAGTGCGTTGTTCCCCATGGAGAATGGAGAATGGGAAATGGGACCGGGAAACATGGCAACTGGGAGCTCGACTTGGTGTTGTTATCAAGCGCGTGCCACTTGAGCGATTCGCTGAGTGACACAGCACTACCACAACTGCAACCACGACCGCAGATGCCACAACAAACAGCGACCCACTGCCACGCCCACCGAGACCCACTGTAACGCCCAGCCACCCATCCGCCCACTTTGACATCCGTCTTAATGAGACTTCAATATCACTTGCCCATTGCCACTCATTCTACACTGAGAAGAATATAAATAGTATTGAATTCATTATCCATTTTCCACGTAAAATTAATCGTTACTTAATTTTATTATTAAGTTTTAACTTACCCTTAAATATTAAATTTATAATTATATTATATTGAATTTTTAAACTTTTTAAAGAGGCAAAGTAACCATTTATTTCATTTTATAACGATTATTTAAATATTTTTTATTTAACATGTGATTAAAAAAGTAGTAAAACCAAAGGTTTTTTTAGCTTAAATATTTTCTTTATATTTTTTATCCCTTGTGGTTTTTATTAATTTAAAATATGAAAATATTTTAACTAACTTTTTAGTTTATTTATAGATTTTAACTTTGATTTTAATACTAAATTCATTTTATTAATGACATAGAATATTTAAAGTTAATATTACTAACATAGTATTTAATTATTAGATGCCTTGTTTTACATTTTTTCAACTAAATCATGCAATTTTTGATGTTTTAAATATTACCATTTTGTTTTTTTTAATTTAAATTATTATTACCTAAGTTATTTATTTTTTAAATACCATTTTCTCTCAGTGCAACTGATTGGCATGGCTGCTGCTATTGTAATTTGAAAGCTGAGCGAAATTGAGACACCGATAGAGAGGTCTAGACTCTAGAGCTAGAGCGCCAGATCTTTGTAAATATATAACGATATCTAATTGGGTCAGACCGTACTGTAATACGCATTTTCGAATTGATTGTAAGCCGTTTGATTGATTTAATGGAGCTTAAATAATAGAGCGGAGGACCTTGGGGCCTCCCTCTGTATTTTATTCAAGCAGCAAGCATTACATGACCAAATCTTGCTGTGATCTCACCAAGAAACAATAAACAAATGACATCACATGGTGGCAAGTCAAGTTGGGGACCCGTTCAACTTGAGTCGGCAATTAGAAGGCAATATTCAAGAGATCTACGTATAAATCATAAATATTAACAGCGCACACACACACACACACTGGACGATAATGGGAGTTCAAAGAGGCAAAGATACACACCATAGAGAAGATGGGAAAAACCTGAATAAATATTTATAAGAATGCTAATTCCCCGATTGCAGTGGCTGCAGTGAAACGAAGCTGCGGAGAAAAGTGTAGCCAGCAGATGCATTGTCTTTTGGCCCAGAACCGCAGTCAAGCATTTTGGGATGGGGGAAAAACCGCAAAAAAGGCGGCAAGTGCCCTACGTATCCCCCCCTCCCCCCCCCCCTGGCAACTGCGACATTGTAACAGTCTAGTTAACTTGCAACTTACAAGCGAATGTATCTGTATCTACGAGTTACTTTACAATGCCCCCATCTCTGTGGGCTACTCCACAACTACCAACACATCTCATCTCTCTTTTCACCTCCTGTGCCCTCTGTTGACTGACTTTCGAAACGTGTTGTCATGTAAATTAACCGAAAAAAAACGAAAGAAAAACTGCCATGTTGCGGGTTAGTTGAGTTAGTTGAGGAATACGAGCTACATGCAGCTATGCTGCAAGTATCTTTCAGATACACAGAAGAAACACAGCGACAGTGGGAGACTGGGCCAGAAGAAGCCACCTCGGCCTGAGAAAGACAAATATAATTGACAATGGTGAACAGCTGGAATGAGATGCAAACATCACAGACAAAGCCGTTTAAATGGAAAATTGTTAGACGTCACAGGCCCGAGGAAGAAACATCCCAAAACAGCCCAAAGACCAGTTGTCAGCTGTTCGGCGAAAACTTCAGCAGGGAAAACTTTACGCTGAGCCCCACAAAATCCAACATAATGGCACACAATTAGGTTGGCCCTTAAGTCAATTTACCTTAGGTAAAGCTAAAAACTTTTAAAGTGGTTTACTTGGAGGAAAAAGTCACTATGTTTTAAGACAGAACCATTTTTAACAATGGGAAAGACCTTTATAATGATAATAACAAAAAATAGATAGTATTTTCAACTTCCAGGATTCTAGCTATAAAATATTCATAACCTATTATGTAGTTATTCAATCCATTCTCGGAATGGGAGTCATCTTTAAAATAATACAAGATACAAGTTCTATAATATTAATCACCCATTATTTTTCATTAAATATTGGGTAAGTTATGATCATAAACTGTAAAATGTTTAAGATATTACAGAATACTCTAAAAACAATGTAGGCCTGCACATACGGGATCATAAAATTAGAATATCTTCGTCGTTATACCACATTTACATTTAAATCAAGAGCGCCTCATGAATATACCCAAATATACTGTTACATTTCAGAACATTCGTTGAACTTTTCCTTTTCCTCCAAAGCGGTTCTATTACACAATATTGGAAACATTCTACTTTTGGTGGGTTGTTAAAGTATCAAGAAAAATAATCTTGATGATTTTGTAGTTCCGAAATGACAAGTAAAAATAGTTAATGATCTTTTTTTTTAAACCTTACTGATATTTTTTACAAAGTTAGAACATTTTTTTCATGACCTCCTAACT